TCACTCCGTGATTTGATATATGACCCGAGATGCATGGTCCTTGTCCCAAGAAAATGTGCTTCGCTTTAGTAGGTTCAGACTCGGAACGCTGTCAAAAATCATTTTGTATTTCGTTCAGGCGAGTCAAAAATCGCATGATTTGTATAACCAAAATATGAAATACACAAGAACACTTTTTAATAGTATGTGGTACGTTGCGATTTATTGAAACTAGTCATAATACGAAGACTTGTTGATTTCATGTAAACAAATGTTTAACACGCCCCTTTTTACACGTACGCCGGAAGCCTAGCAATTATTCGCGTCTGCGTTTGTAATATTGCTGCCTAGGCTGGTTTCTCCAGGAAAAATGTGCGTTTCAAAAATTGCTAAACTAACGATTGCTTTGCGAAAAGTGACAACAATTACAGCGCGAGTATTTATTTTTTCAGATGTCATATAGTAATATATTGTTTAGTATCATAGAGCTATAATGACTCATTGTAGCTCCATTGTAGTGCTAGTATATACTGCGTCAGTTCTTTTCATGCTTCTTGTGTATCCCTTTTCAATCCTCCCGGATTGTTATGTGGGTCGAGACGCAAAATAAAAGTCAATTTGAAAAAAAAAAAACGAATCATTTTGTTCCCCATATGAAATTGATGCTCACTCATTTGCATTTTTATTTTCCGAAATTCTGCAAAAAACAAAAAAAGCTGTGACAATGGCAGTTTTAATTGATGCACAGGATAACTATACATGTTTCCTGTAACTATTTAAAGTTTAAGTAACAAACTTAGGTATGAACCAATGGTTTCTATCTACTATGGTTTTCACTAAGCCATGAATGTTAATTTGTGTGATGAAAATTTATAAAACATTTATAAAGACCTTCATTCATTGTTCAAATTTAAAGAAGATTTTTTCATTTCCTGGTTAAGCTATTCGGTAATATCCATTACTTTACATCATGACCAATATGCATGGAACATAGATGCTAATTTAATTAAAATTAATCGCTCACAGATATACCTTCAAATTATAGTACTACTATTACCACAGAATGTTTGAATTGTAAAATCTATTTATTTTCAGGTAGTTGGGAAAGTAGACTAAATTGTTTTTTAACCATCTTTTAAAATCAATAAAATATTATATAAAGATACATTCCTGGCTTTACAAATGTTGTGTATACAGTGAAAGACTCAAAGATTGAGTTTTGCTTATGAACTAGCCAGACAAGATCGCATGATTTGCACCCTCCGCGGTACTTCAAACCCAACACACGCCTGACAGAACGATGTAGTTTTTCACTTCCCCCAATGATTTTTTGTCGATACCAATAAAATTGCAGGAACATCAGATAGTGGCAGCCATCAAAGAGTAACCATTCACGGCAGAGTTTATTTGTTTGTTGACATAATGTGTGATAAGGCGCTGGCAAATTTTCGCCCAATGTTTATCATCTTATTGAACACAGTCTTTGATTTTTGCAGATAATGCAAACACGGCTTTGATTGACGGTGTTACCATGACCACCAAAATGAATATTCATTTAAAACTCATTGCAAGAAGGCGTGAACTTCGCGAATTCACAGTATTGATCTTGCCGATCTTGTCAGGCGTTAGTAGGGTCTGATGCTGTTCGGTCGGAAACCGATCCACTTTAGTTCAGTTCATTTACACAATTAATTGAAATTACTCTATAGTTATAATGTTGCAATTGGTTGGCCAATCTTGAGTTCTTCTCCTGTCAGTCATCATGGCCGAATTTCTAGAATCTGTACAGAGAATGCAGATTGTGAACCCTGCAATCTGATTGGTTTAAACAACCAGGTAAAAAATGTATTGATCAACTTATGAAAAAACATTTGAAAGAAAATAATCATTCAGTAGGTTTTTAATTTATTTTTCTGCTGCGATAATTATAGTTATGCTCAAAACCATGACAACAAAAATAAACAAAACTACCTGGTGAGAGTTTCTGGTGATGTAGCCTAGTGTGGGGTTTATAGCGTGGAGTAAACATTTTTATCATAATATAATCTTCTTTATTTTCTGGTGTTTTTAGTGCAAAAATGGCTGACATGTGGAAACAGCCCTACAAATGATCAACAAAGCTGATCTAGAAATGATGTTGAAGAATAGCCGAGAACGGGATATAAGAATGAAGAAACGAAAAGCGGATATTGTTCGAAAAGAAATGAAAATGATGGATAAACAGGCTGAGGAAGATGCTAGGAAACAACACAAGAAGAAAAAGAAGATTGCAGAAACAGAAATGCAAAAACAGACTGTGGAGAATGCGGATGTCCACTTTGACTGCTCAGCGATGGAAATCCTGGAAAATGTGGAGCTGGATAAGATGAAACGAGAACAGAACTCTACCGTCAAGGACTTGGAGAAGATACATTTGAGAGTAAAAGCTGTAAGTTTTATTTTTAATTAATTAAATTAACTTAAATTAAGAGTTGAACTATCAAATTGAGATAGGGGATATGTGATGCATAATGGTATAGACAAAATCTGCTCTATTCATTTCAATAATTTCTACCGGGACAGATATTCCTCAAACATTTTGGTACAACATTTTTCCTGCCAACACTTTTTTAGCTCTTCATATTACTGATTGTCCCTCGTCGTCCCGTGTATGTAGTCAGTCGTCAACTTTTTACATTTTTGTCTTCTTCTTCAAAACCATTAAACCAAATGCTTTCATATTTGCAACATAGATTCTTGGGGTAGTCCTCTGTCAGATTTGTTCATTTCAAGATGATATCTTCAATTCTATATTTTTGTCATTTTTGGTAAAAAGTGATATTTTCGACTTCTTGTTGAAAAACCACAAGTGATTGCTTGTTTATGTTTTTAACTATATTCTCTTCAGTTTGGCTCAGTTTTTTTCCTTAATTTGTTGATAATACAGATCTTTATCACAATTTGTGGACAAATTATTGAAAAAAACTGAGCCAAACTGAGGTTTATTATTTGAGAAGTGCCAACAATTTGTTGTTCAAAGTTCAAATTGTTAAATGAGGTATTTGTAGCCAATAAGTATCTGCAGCTTTTGCA